TCGAGCTGCAGACGGCGCGGAGGGCGTCTGCGCCAGCGGCCGAGCAGGCCCCCCAGCAGGCGTGGCGTTCCGACCACGGGAGGGCCCAGTGGCTGTCAGGGCGCCACGTCCAGGGAGGATCGACGCCCGAGGTCTTCGGAAATCCAGGCGTTGCATTTTTGTCCATGACGGGAGCGTCTTCGCCTGGTCTCGGGCCCTGGGGCCATCGCAGATCGATCCGGCTCGAAACAGGACGCGGAACGATGGGGGTCTTGGGCTCCAGGCGTGACGTTTCGCGGCTTTACACGCCGGATCTCAGGGCCCTCCGACGGCGCATTTTGTTCGCAAGGTGGGCCGCTGGGGTCTCGACTACTTCCCGGCGTTGGCTCTTTTCTTGTGTAGGGGGCCACAGGCGAACCCCACCCCTACCCCCCACGAGTTCTGAGGGGGAGGGTGGGGTTCACTTCGCTCGGGATCTCCCGAGCGAAGTGAACCTCCCCCTTAGAGAAATCGTGGGGGGTGGGGGTGGGGTTCGCCTGTGGCCCCCTATTGTGCGTCGTGGATCGGCGGTCCCCGGCCCGGGAGGCGGCCTCCACAGGCCCAGCAGCGTGAACACAAGGCAGCCGCCGCGATCTGTTTTTTCGGCGTCGCGTGGATCGGAAGGTCTTTTTCGTTCGTTGGTTCCCAGAAGGTGTCCCAGCGTCGGGATGATTGTCAGCGGCCGTGCCTGGTCGGGAGCCTTCAGGGGTGTCCCGAGCGTCCCAGGCGGCCGCTGGCGGCCCGAGGCATGGCCGGAAGGGGATCGGGGGCCCGTACTTCCCTGCGTCGCGAGGAGAGTCGCGACGGAAGGCTTTGGGCGATGTTCGGCCCTCGGGGGCCCTCTCTGGGCCCCAAGGCCGTCACAGAAACGACTGAGGAGGGTCAGTCGGTCCCGCCTACCCCCGTTTCCCCCTGACCCGCTCCCGATCCCATTCCCCCCTGCCGCCTGGAGGAGGACGACTATACGGGCCACCCTTGTGCCTCCCCCCTCCCAGGAACGAGGGAGAGAAGGAGGGGGTAGGGGAGGAGAGAGCATGTGGACCCGTATAACTCTTTGATGTTTGCGCATCCCCTCTGGGATCCGACGTTGCGAAGGAACATGCGAAATCGTGATGGATCACGACCAGAGCCCCGGACCACATTTTTCTGCGGCATGCCTCGAGCCGCGTCGATCTGTGATGGTCCCGGGGGCCCGACGCGGGGGGAAGACACCCAGCGTGAGAGACGTGCAACGCCTGGGTCTCAGGGTCTATCAGGAGGGGAAAAAACACACAGACACGATCAACCGTCGATCCCCAGGAACATATGGGAAAATACGGGAAGTGGGGGGGGAAGACAGGCACCCAGAAGATCGGGGAACACATAGGGCATCCTGCCATCTGTGCGTATTCCTTTGCGTGTCCTGGGGCCCCTGCAGTCTGCCCGTCTCCTCCGCCGTGCCTTCTCTTACGTTGCATCTTCGGGGGACCTCGCCTGTCCCCCAAATTGGTGTCTTCTGTTGTAACCGACGCGGACTCGATGCGGACTCGACGCGGATTTGGCCTGGATTCGACGCGGATTCGACACGGATTCGACACGGATCCGACGAGGCCGACACGGATTCGACACGGATTCGACGCGAATGGGGCCGCGACGGGACAGCCGAGGTCCCCCGAGGATGCAACACAACTTCTCCTCCGCCGCCTCTGCCCGTCTCCTCCGCCGTGCCTTCTCTAGGGGACCGCATGCGGACCCCACCCCCCACCCCCCACGATTTCTCTAAGGGGGAGGGTGGGGTCCACTCCGCTCGGGAGCTCCCGAACGAAGGGAACCCCACCCTCCCCCTCAGAACTCGTGGGGGGTAGGGGCAGGGTTTGCCTCCTCCTCCTCCTCCTCCTCCTCCTCCTCTCTCCTCCTTTTCCCTCCTTTTCCTCCTCCCTCTCCTCCTCCTCCTCCTCCTCCCCCTTTTTCTCCCCCTTTTCCTCCTCCTCCTCCTCCTCCTCCTCCTCCTCCTCCTCCCTCTCCCCTGGCACCAGCATAGCCTCCGGCGGCACGCGCGCCGGCCACGCAGGGGGCCGCGCGCGCGCCCTCGGGAAGCTTCTCGCGGGAGCCCGCTCCGTGGCGGGCGCTCTCTCCGGCCCCTGCCGCTCGGGAGACGGTGCACCACAGTACTGTGGGATGACGATTAAGAAAAGAAGGAGGGGGGAACGATTAAAAAGATAGTTTCCCACACCGGGGGGGGAACGCTCAGAAGCAGGGCTCGCCTGTGCGGTGTTTCGTCACCGGGGGGGGCGCGCGCCCGAGGACGGCGGGGGGGGGGGGGACGATTAGAAAAATAGTTTCCCAGCCCGGGGCCGGTTTTTTCTAATCATCATCCCGGGCGCCGCCGCGTGAGCACGACCCCGGTCATTTTTTAATCATCATGCTCCATTGCAGCCGAGACGCTAAGATCAGGAGCAGTTTGGATTCGGAAGGGGTTCGATGTTCCTTGCGTCCTGCCGTGGTGGTTCCTCTAGCCCCTCTCGTGCACCCTGGCTTTCTTGAAGCCACAGAGGGGCTTCGTTCCTGATTTAGCGTTCCTTATTTCAGCAGCCCGACGGTACGGTAGGACCACCCTACGGGTGACAAGAGGTTTTTTTTTTGGGGGGGGGGGGGAAGGGGGCGGCGGTCGATTTGCGATGGCTCTGGGTTTCCTGGGTGGTTTCTTCAACTCTCCCTATTGTCGCTCGCATCTGCTCATCTGTCTGTCGATCTATCTATGCAATTGTCTGTTAGGACAACCATTTATTTATCTATCTATATACCTACCTATCACTCTATCAGTTTATCATTCAAGCAACCAGCCAGTCAATTCATATATTTATTTTTGTATATAGCTATAACTATAGTTAATTAGCTATGTCGGTGTATCTACTACCGGAGAAGCGCCCCAATCATAATCTTTTTTTTGTCAGGCTACATCTCTATAGGGCTATGGGGCCATAGGGCTAGAGCACCATTGTGCTATAGGTCTACAGGGCAATAGGGTTAAATGGATATAGGCATACAGAACTATAGGGCTATAGGTCCATAGGGCTACAGGCCTATAGGGCAATAAGGCTGCAGGTCTATAGGGCTATAGGGCCATAGGGCTATACGGCTATGTGGCTATCGGGCTAGAAGGCTATAGGGCTATAGGATTATAGGGCTACAAGGCTGTAGGGCTATAAGGCTATAGGGCTATAGGGCTATAGGGCTATAGGGCTGTAGGGCTGTAGAGCTACAGGGCTATAAAGGTAGGGCTACAGGGCTATAGGGCTGCAGGGCTATTGGGCTATGATAGGGCTATGGGTCTACAGGGCTATAGGGGTATAGGGCTATAGGGCCAGAGGGCTACTGGGCTATAGGGCTACAAGACTTTGAGGCTGTAAGTCTACAGGGCTATAGGGCTACCAGGCACCCGGGCACCCGGGCACCCGGGCACCCAGGCGGGCCGCCGAAATCGGCGACGCAGCGACTGGGGTGCCGCCGAGATCGGCGACGCAGCTGACCTGATGAGTGCTCTAGGACTCCTACAGAGGCAAGCTCGGACTGGGGCATGCATATTTGTATATACATGTAGCTATATACAGTTACCTCTCTCTCTATATATATGTATATATATATATATATATGTATGTATATATATCTCTCTCTATATATATTTCTCTCTATGTCTCTATCTCTTTATCGCTCTCTTTCTCTCTCTGTACATATATATATACGTTTATGTCTGTCTATCTTTCTGTGTATATATATATATGTAGCATTCTCTATATACACATCTCTATACATTTCTCTCTCTATATCTATAGATATATACCTGTCTATATACCAATCAAACATCGGGACAACCATCGGAACAACCATCGGGACAACCATCGGGACAACCATCGGGACAACATCAAACAACATCTTACGATCGATCTAGGTTTGCGCCGACAGGGACATGTGGAGGGCCGAGGCAAGGATGGGAGGTGGGAGGTGGGGGAGGTGGAAGGAGGAGTGAGTGAGACGCAGGGCGCTGTCCCAACACCGCAGGATGTAGGATGGTTGGGAAATCTTGCATCGGCGGAGATGTGGGGACAGTCGAAACCGACAGCAAGGATGGGTCACCTTCCCAAGGGTACCCGTGCATCCTCGCCTCCCCGTTTCATCCTCAACCCCTTTCGACGGCCCGCTTTGCTCGAAAAACTCCAACACGGGCGTCCAAGGAGCTGGCATCCTTGTCGCGCATCCTCACTACGGTCGGCGCGAGGTCTAGATCGAGGTCGGTTCGGGGAGGGTGCCCTAGTGATCTTCGTGTTTGTTGGCCGTTCTTGTGCATCCTGGGGGAGGGTACCCTCGAATGTTTTTCAGTTTGGCCAGCGGAGGGTTTCATGTTGTGAGCGTTTTTACCTAACAGCGAAGACTGATAGGTTTCTAGTGGGGTCAAAAGAGAGCATCCTGATTCCCCAGGGGGGTCTGGGCAGGATCCGGGGGAAGCCAGGGAAAATCGTGGACTCTTCATTCTGATTGCCAGGAGCCACATCTTGACTGCTTGGAGCCAACAAAATACCATTCCCAGGCAACATGTTGAATGCCCGGAGCCAACTGTAGTCCACTTCGTGTTCTCCGTGCTCCCAGAACACCATTCCCAGGCCACATTTTGAATGCCCGGAGCAAGCTGTAGGCCACTTCGTGCTCTTCGTGTTCCCAGAACACCATTCCCAGGCCACATTTTGAATGCCCGGAGCCAGCTGTAGGCCACTTCGTGTTCTTCGTGTTCCCAAAACATTATTCCCAGGCCACATTTTGAATGCCCGGAGCCAGCTGTAGGCCACTTCGTGTTCTTCGTGTTCCCAGAACACCATTCCCAGGCCACATTTTGATTGCCCGGAGCCAACTGTGGGCCACTTCGTGATCTTCGTGTTCCCAGAACATCAGTCCTGTAGTATATTTTGAATGTCCGAACTGAGGCAGGCTGAGGCCGATGGAGGCTGAGG